CTGTGGGGGAGTTTGCTCTTTGATCCTGGAGCAGTGCTGCCTAAAAGCAGAAACGTAGGGGCTCCCCAAGGGTCTTCTGGTTGCCAACCAAATGATGAGGCAGAAGCCACGGTTCTCAGAATGAGTCATTTCACAGTGCCATTTGCAGCCATTGTGTGCAAAGAACCCCAGGACCAGTGCATATCCCACAAAGCCCTGTATGACGCTGCATTCTCCCCCGGCAGCTGAGGGCTCCCCACCTGTACCTTCCAGAAGGGCTCTCCTTTATTCCTGTGGACACAGCTGCATTTGGTTGGTCTCCTTTTATCCTGGCAGTACTGTGAAAGCATCTCCTTTGTTTCATCTCCGTACACAAAGGAGGAAAGCATTGCAGCAGGCCCCATGCAAGCTTCTCTGTGCCCTGCAGGCCAGCCGCCCCGGCCTGGGAGTTTGGGCGAGTCTGGCTCTCTCCTGTGGTTGTGCTTAGTGCCTGGCCCTCTTTGCAAAGGGGCCAGCTCATTCCGCCGATCACTTCCCCTTCCTGCTTCTCTGCCTGCAGGAAGTCTGCACTTTGCTGTTGGCAGCTCATCTGCTGGGCGACCAGATCAGCCTCCTGAACTGGCTGGGCTTCGCCCTCTGCCTCTCGGGAATATCCCTGCATGTCGCCCTCAAAGCCCTGCACTCCAGAGGTAACCTGAGCCCCTTTCCTACGCCTGCATTCAGGACATTCTCCCCATGACTCAGCCCCTCTGATTTCCTCTCAACCCAGCCCTTCCGGGAAGAGGCAAGTGGCCCTCAGATTCCCCAAGTAGTTCCAGTCTACACCATTCAGTTGCCTCTGCAGGGGCTGCTGCTCTCCTCAGCATGCTGGAGTCATCTCTAAGGAACTGGGGAGGGGCCCCGGGTGACAGCACACACATCAGGGCACAAGACACTGATCAGGTCTGTAACTGGTGTCTCTTCATCCCCAGGTGCTGGCGACCCTAAACCCTCAAAGGGGCTGGGCTCCAACCCCGACCTGGAGCTGCTGCTCCGGAGCAGCCAGCCAGAGGAAGGGGATAATGAGGCGGCGGAGGAGGAGGACTTTGTGGCCCAGGGATAGCAGCGACCAGCCCGGGAGCAGCTTTGAAGCAGGCCGCTCCCAGTCTTCATGCTGACGGAGCTCAGGGACCAGGTGGTTTCTCACAGCAGCTGGGAGCAGCGGGCCAGCAGTGTCCACGCTGGGCCTCGGGTAGCACGGGACCCATGGTGGGTCCGCGTCGGGAGAGTTGGCCAGAGGGGTGAGCACCAGGCCAGAACAGGCCCCACGCTGTGCTGGAGTTGCAGCGGAGGAACGGAGGGCTCGTCTCAACTGCCTGCCAGGCTCTGGCTGCCAAGATCATGATTTCAGAGGCATCACAGGTGTCTAAGGGGCCCGGGCCTGGACTGCAGAGCAGTTGGGAAGGGGAGATGGAGAGCTGGGGGCTTACCACCTGGACAGCTCTCTGCTCAGAGAGCAGATCTATTTATAGTTTGGAAATAAAGGGTTTACAGTCCACTAGTCACTTCATGTTGCCTGGAGGTGTGGGGGCAGGGAGGGCAGTCGGCCTGGCCTCTCCTTCCTCTGCCTGGGGCCTCGCAGGTGACTGGCCAGACTCCAGCCTTCCCGTCACGTGTACCCCTGCTTGAGCCCAGGACCCTCTCGGGGGGCCCAAGCGCACCTGCAGGCAGGAAGGTGAATATGCGCTGAGCACCATATTCTGGGGACCTTAAAGCTTTCACAGCCTGACTGTCGCTTATCACCCATGACCTGAACCAAATTCCTTCACCTCTCTGTGAAATGGGGGTAATAATTGTCTCAGAGTTGTTCTGAAGATTGGAAACAGTTTAAATATTATATTAGTGTTTATTTTGAAAATCCTTTAAACAACCATGGATCCAAGACCCTAAATGAGTGGCCGACCTACGGTTCACAGCACCAGTGTTTGTCCGTGAAAACGTGTGGACGGGGAGATGGGCCTCCAGGCCTTCCCATCACCCGCCCTGGACGAGTCACACAGACTGCTGTCTTTATCAAGTGGGAGGGAAGCGACAAGCACCCGGCTCTGATGGGCTCTGGTTCTGAGGCCTGGCCTGCTCCTGGGAGCCTGCTCCCCTGGATTGGGGAGGACTGCTGGCCCCAGGGTCACATCCTCCCAAGCACAAGTGCTTGTGGGCCTTCACAGCAGGTGGCGCCATCGCACCACAAGGTGACGACGGCACTGGGAGAACTACCACCCCCACCCAAGCCCCGGCAGGAGGGTATGGGGGTCTGGGCGGGGCGGCCTGTCGGGAACTGTCCTGATAGATTGGAGCCATGAAAGCCCCTTTTAAGCCTAGGAGAACGTTAGTGTTTGAGGAATGGGACCGGCACACTTTGGAAAGGGCTAGATAGTAAATATTTCCCATTTGGGGACCATCTGGTCTCTGTTGCAGCCTCTCAAGTCTGCCAATGTAGCAGAACAGCCGCCATGGACAGATCCAGAAACAAACGGGCAGGCTGTGTTCCAGTGGAACCTTATTTACAGGAATGGGACTCGGCGTGTTGGCTGCAGTTTGCCAACTCCTGCTTAATAATTTTCACTCCAAGATGATTTGAAGTGCCTTATAGAAAACATGGATAAAATAAGACGGGCAAAGACCTTGATAGATATAGTTAATATAAAGTTGGGATTTGATCTCTGTGGTGGACAAAGTATATTATATAAATTGAGTGAAATGAAGAAACCTTAAGAATTGTTGAGTCCCACCCACTCCCAGTCCACGGAGGCAGGGGGTAGGTGCCGTGACTAGTCTGAGGTCCTCAGAGCCTCCCGGCTCGAGTTGAGCTTCACTGCAGACTTCTCCCGTTCATGGAGGTGTGACACGAAGGTGCCTTATCTGGTTCCTGCACCTCTGCTCCCCTGGATTGTGCAAGCTCAGGCCAGGATTAAAGGAAGTTCATGTTCCACGAGAGATGATGTGGGGCGAGCTAGCAAAACGGAGGGGCCAGGACCCCTCCCTGCTGCCTCTGCTTGGGAGGCTGGTTGGGATGCAGGATGCTTGGGCTGCAGAGAGCCTGTCAGAATCCCCTGGCTTAGGTGGGTGAGAGCTTCCTGCCTGCCCCTCCCCACACTGTCCCCCACTTCCCCCACAGGGAGCAAAAGCTGCTGTCTGGTGCAGTAATTACAGGGTGCAGAGCAGGGGCCGGTGCTGTGCCGCCTGCATGTTAGGTTCAGTGACAGCCCCTCACTTAGCAGCAATTACCAGCTGATCCTAGAGGAGGACTCCCTCCTCATGCCCCTCCCCCCTTCCTGCCAGCCCTATTGCCTGGCCTTCCAGGCCAGACCCTATTCGCCTTCAGCTTGGAGCCCTAGAAGCACCCATGCTGTCTGCAGCCATTGCATCTCAGGGTTGCATTGTTGCCATGGTAACTCGGTGCTTGCACAGGTTTCGGGAAGCTCAGGCTGTGACTTGTCTCCAAGGCTGTGCTGTCTGTCCCCAGGAAGCCTACAGCTCCAGGGCTTCTGCAGAGGAGGGAGGAGAGAATGTGAGCTGACCTGCAGGTTCGAGTTTTAAGTGCTTACATGCCCACCGTCTCTCCCGGGAACCTACCACGGAAGGAAGGTTATTGCCCCCAATATATGAGGATGTCTGTAGTTGAGGTCGTGGTGGGGATGAGCACGAGCTGGAGCTCGCCCGTGGGAGAAACCTGCGATGGCAGGCAGGGCCTGGCGTGCCTTCATCTTCATTCTGGTACCCTCCTCTGCTGAGGGCTCAGGGCATCACCTCCATCTGTTTCTGCTCCATTCTTCTGAGCGGAAAAAAAAAAAAGGAAACTCCCAGTGGCTTGAGAGTAGAGTTACACAGAACCAAGAGAACAGTCTGTGACGCTTGCCACAGCTTGCTGCCTCCTGGACTACTGATGGGCTGGGTTGGGTCCCCAGTGTGCAGAGAACTGAGGGTGGGGATGCAGATCATCCATCTGGGTTGACGGCATCCCGGGAGTGCTGATCCCATGCCAGATATTGAGCTGAATTTGGGATAGACAGTCCCTGGAGAGATAGCAAATGGGGCCATCCTTCCTCTCAGCCCAGGGAGGTGTTGAGGCAGGGGACCAGGGAAACGGGGAGAACAGAATGGACCCGTCACTGGGCACCTTCGAGACCTCTTGTGTTGACTATTTAATCCCTAAATCCCAGTGCAGTAGGCATTGACTGTACCCATTTCACAGCTGTGGAAACTAAGCTCACAGAGGTTAAGCATGATGGTGGCTGAGAACGCACGTCAGAGACTCCACCAGACCTGGATTCACACTTCTGCCCTGTGACAGCGGTGTGTCTTGGGCATGCTGCTGATCTCCTCTGAGCCTGTTTCCTTGTCTATGTAGCAGGAACCCTAATACCTCCTAGTGAAGCTGTTGTGATGATGAAATGTCTTAAACAGCAGCACAGTGCTGGGCACATAGGAATAGCCACTTAGTAAAGGTCAGCAACGAGGAGGTGACATAACTTGCCCATGTGACAGAGCAAGTGAGAGGAGGAGCAAGCACGGAGTGCTGCCTGCTCCAGTGCCTGGCCCAGCGGAGGCCTGAATAGACACTTTTTCTGTGAAGGAATTTCCAACGGTGGGAATTGGGATTTTTCGGGTCCCGGGGACCATCGTAACTTCTAAATGATTTGTCCTGCAAGGACAGGACAAGCTGTTCCCCATCTCCACCACCCATTTCCGCCAGCCCCTGGCCCCCCAGCCGTCCTGAGCCCTCACTCTGACATGAGTCAGGCCCCTTGGCCCCTGCTTGGTAGTACCAGTTAGCTTGACTCCTGGTCCCATGGTTATCTGCAGTTTCGTTGGCAACTAGTGCCTTTCCCAGGAACAAACCCACAGCCTTGGATCTGCTGGCATCCTGCTGGGGGGGCTGTGCCTTTCTCTGGGATGTCTGGTGAGAACTCTCCTGCTGGGACGACAGAGGGACCGAAGAGAGAACCAGGGGAAAGTGCATTGCAATGCATTTAATAAATTCTAGAGCAGCAGTCGCCAACCTTTCAGACCTCACGGACCACCAGTGAGGTGGCGACTACTGTTCTAGAGCATCGACAATACGCCCTGCCCAGTGAGAGCTACTGGAGACGTAGGAGTCATTACGACGCGGCTGTCCGCAGGCAGCTTCTGCGGGACCTTTTAACCCAGTGGGTTTCCTGGAAGCGGACACAGGAGATTAGGGTGCAAGATGTCATTTAGGAAATGGCCTTGGGAAAAACATGTGGAAGGGAGTAGAAGGATGCAGGTTTTGGGAGCGGGAGAAGCTGAGTCCCCACAAAGGTCTCAGGACCCCACAAGGAGCCCTGGAGTTGAGCCAACCCTTCAGACTTGTCCCAAGGTGGGCTGCGGCCTGTGTATTTCCACTCTGATCTGCCATTGGAAGTGGACCTACCCCCAGCAGGAGCTGTGACTTTGGCTGAGGCTGTTTTCTGCCAATGAGAATTTCGCTGAGGACCGACTCCCAGTCCCACTGCAGCGGAACCACTCATTCCCAAAGGGGATCGGAACAGCTCATCACAGCCTCCCCCACACCCAGGGCCATGGCTGGCTTCACGGATGACCAGAGGTCCCCGAAGCAGGGTAGAAACCACATTTGACATGAACGTGCATGTGTGCATTTGCAGGGGAAGAGTGCCTTTGACCTCCTAAAAGATGAAGAACCACTGGTCTAGGGAAAGTCAGGCTTATCCACAGCTTAAAAACCACATGATCAAGGATGAACACTATAGGTGCTCAGTATAGACGATGGATGGATGATGAGTGGATGGATGGATAGACGTCATAGAATTATTGGGAGACAGACTGCAGAGCTTGTGCGGAGAAACCAATTCTGTCTGGGGCAGGAGAGCAAAGATTTTCAGGAGGAGCTGACCATTTTGAACTGAGTCTTGAAGACTGAATGAGCGTTGCCGAGCAGGCATAAGGGTAAAGCATACCAGGTAGGGGGGGAGGGGCGGGCAAGGGCAGGGGGTGATGAGGAGGGGAAGGATGGTGTGTTGGGTGCTGTACTAGGAGTTAGTCCATCTGTGTAAGAGGAGGGAGTAAAACCCCCAGGTCCCCCAGGAGGTACCCTGATAGGAATTGTTCTCCCAAGTTGCTCTCAAGCAAGCAGGTACCTCCTCCACCCCACCCCCAACACTCAGCGGTGGCCAGTGCCTCTGGGTGGGGGAGGGGAGGTCTTAAAGGTAATAGCGCACCAGTGACAGCATCAGCTCACTCCTGCAGCCCACCCCTGGGAACTCCATGGTACTGGCTGGCCCACTTTCCAGGTGACAAACAGGAGCCGCTAAACAACTTCCCAAGGTCACTCACCTCACTAGCTCCTAAGAGCAGCGGGAGCCCTCCCCGGGGCTCAC